GCCCACCTCAGCCTCCCAAAATGCTGGGATTACAGGCCTGATGTTTTCTCTTTATTGGACTAAGTTTATGCTTTTTTTTTTTTTTTTTTGCAAGAATACCACAAAAGTGAGGTCGTGCCATTCTCAGTGTGTCATCACATGCGTCTCATGATCTTGATGTCTTATGACTGGTGATGCTCCTAATTTCTTTTTGGCCATCAGCCCCCGTCCTTTAACACTTATGAGAAAGAAATGGTGTGCAGTTTAACCAGGTTTTATTTGAATTAAAATGTTATGAAAGAAAAAAAGCAGAAAAAAGTTCTAAGGGTGGAAAAGTATAAGATTAGTCCCCCTTGGAATGACCCTCTCTGTGCATATACCAAACATTGAGATCTGAGTGAATACTGTAATTGGAAAGACTTTTTAAATTTTTAATTTAAAATTTCAATTTTACAAAAGATTTTTGGTGTTTTAAGTGTGCCAATCACTGTGCAGTCAAAAGCATACTCTCTGACTTTCTGCTGAGAAATTACACTCCGAAGGATTAAACGGTTCTCAGAATAACTGAAAACTTCTCATTTTCTTTTATTTAGGTTAACTTCTTAAAACCACCCTCTTCTTTTAAATTTGATGAATTTTTCACAAAGTGTATGACCTTCATGAATTATTATCCTTCTGGTAAGCACAAAAGTAAGTACCCACCATGGAAAAACGCCTTCGCCTCTACCAGTGGTCAGTAGGGTCTTATACCAATGCCAATAGCTTCATTACTAGTGGGTGAGCTCCTCAACACAGCTCCTGGTTCTTATCAGCACCCAAAGGGTACCTACTTCTCATTCTCTGGGACAGCAGTTCTAAGTATGATACTCCCCATACCCTCCAGCTCTCCCTAGGCACTGACTCCTTTCCCTCATCCATCAAACATTAATAAGTATCCCCTAGGATAAAAGAAAAAGTAAAGCTTCTTTGTGTGCTGCTTTCCCCTCCTAACCTTCACCAATAAACTTCTCAGAAAAGTAATCTGTAAATGTATTTATACCTGTTCTCGTATCCCCTTATTTATTTATTCATCCAATAAATATTGATTGCAATCACCTTGATGTCTATGCTCACCTGCTCTTCAATCTTGCACCGCTGCCATCTATCTTCTGCCCTGGTCCTCTGCTGTCTACTGAGACTGTTTATGTCAAGGCCACCAAGGACCATTAATTTGCCAAACCAGGTGACCTCTTCTCAGGCCTCATCCTAGGTGGTTGACCGTAGCTTACACTCTTCTTGGACACTACCTTCTCCTTTTTCCTTGGGTTCAAGAGTATTATTCTTTTCCAGTTTTGCCTTTACTTCTCAAATCACCTATTTTCAGTAATCTTTGCTTAGTTTCCTTCCAATTTCTTTTTTTTTTCTGAGACGGAGTCGCGCTCTGTCGCCCAGGCTGGAGTGCAGTGGCACAATCTTGGCTCACTGCAAGCTCCACCTCCCGGGTTCACGCCATTCTCCTGCCTCAGCCTCCCGAGTAGCTGGGACTACAGGCCCCCGCCACCACGCCTGGCTCATTTTTTGTATTTTTAGTAGAGACGGGGTTTCCCCGTGTTAGCCAGGATGATCTCAATCTCCTGACCTCGTGGTCCGCCCTCTTCAGCCTCCCAAAGTGCTGGGATTACAGGCGTGAGCCACCATACCCGGCCCCTAGGTGTCCCAGAGTCTCCTGACAACTGTAAAGACAGGACGGCTCAATGCCCAAGAGAATAGGGACTGGGAGACTCCTCTGGCTAGCACTGCAGAGCCAAACTTCCCTCTCTGAGCCTGCGCCCTCCTTCTGCCTTCTTAGACCTCCTGAGGCTTGCGTGCACGCTGAAGCCTGATCCTGAACTGGAAATGTCCCTACAAAAGTATGTGATGGAAAGCATTTTGAAGCAGGTATTTTCATAATTGAATTTATAGGCTTTGGGGATGTCAGGGATCTGGACAGCTGGAGTTTTAAGATTTAAGTAAAAAACCCAGCAGCTACTAGTAAATAGTAAAATGTTCCATTAACATAAAAAGACTTCCTTTTTCTTTCTTTCTTTCTTTTTTTTTTTTTTTTTTTGAGACAGAGTCTCACTCTGTCACCCAGGCTGAAGTGCAGCGGCATGATCTCAGCTCACTGCAACCTCCACCTCCCGGGTTCAAGTAATTCCCCCGCCTCAGCCTCCCACATGTGCCACCACACCCAGCTAACTTTTTGTATTTTTAGTAGAGATGGAGTTTCACCATGTTGGCCCGACTGGTCTCAAACTCCTGACCTGAAGCGATCTGCCCGCCTCACCCTCCCACAGTGCTGGGATTACAGGCATAAGCCACCACGCTGAGCCTAAAAAGACATTCTCTATGTGTAGGTGACTGTGAAATTCATTGTTCAAATCTCAGTACTTTAAAAGAGGGCATTATTCACAATTATAATCTGACAGCAGGCATAAAATAAGACTGCGTTGCTTATATAATTGGGCAAATGGGAGCTGTTGCAAGCATATAAGAACATGTGGGCACCCTTTCTGTATGCCACATTGCAGAAAGACTTCAAGTGGATGAACATTGGCACACTATTTCTCCAAGTCATTTGCATTAGATCTTAAGTTTTGAGATTTAACAATGCAGGTAATAAGTATACTCTGAGCTACCTCCACCCTCCAGTGTTTTCTCTTTTTATTCTCTTAATCTTGATTCTCTCAAATTTATTAATCCATGTGAATAATAACTGTCTCTGACCGCTCACCATAAGCCAGTCACTCTGCTAGTTCATGTATTTATTCTTTACAGTCCTTGGTAGATATTTTTATCCCCATTTTATATGTATAAGAAAACTGAGACCCAGAGAACACTACAACCTTTCCTGAGGTTGTCAAGTAAAAGATATAGCTAGGATTTGAACCCTGGTCTGTCTGAATTCTACAATTTTTGACAGGCTATCCACCCTCCTAATATATGCCTGCTTTGATACTTAGTCCCATCAAAATGCTGTTGTGTCCTGGAGGAAATCTTTGTAACAAAGTCCTGTCCAGTGGGTACCTGCCTTCATAAGTGAACTGGAGAGGTATCAGAATGCACCCTGCCACTTCAGCCCACTGTAAAAACATTACCCCTAGTGCCTGCAATTGCTTGATTCTTTATGGCTTTCGAAGCTTAAAAAAGTCACCCCATTCTCCCCTAGCCATTCTCAAGAGCTATAATACATTATGCTTCTTTAATTGCAACCAGCTGAAAACAAGGTCTTTAGCAATGGAATATAAGATGGACTCTGTGAGTCACTGGGAAAATTCCAGGTAGGAAAAATGTTTACCTGGTGAAGAGGTATAGCTAAGAGGGTTGAAAACAAGACCAAAGACAACCTTTTACAACTTTCCCAAAACCAGCCCCTGCACCCAAAGAAGTCCTTAAAGATACTGTAGTCCTCTTTTCCAAGCCAAAACTCAGAATACATAGTCTGACAGAAGTTTTTTTATTTACTTGTGAATGATTTTATTTGAGAAATCAAGGCCAGACTCATGCCTGTAATCCCAGCACTTTGGGAGGCCCAGACAGGTGGATCACTTGAGCCCAGGAGTTCAAGACCAGCCTTGACAACATGGCAAAACCCCATCTCTACAAAAATACAAAAATTAGTTGGGTGTGGTGGCATGTGCCTGTGGCCTCAGCTACTCAGGAGGCTGAGGTGAGAGGATCACTTGAACAAAGAGATGGAGGTTGCAGTGAGCCGAGATGGCGCCACTGCACTCCAGTCGTCGGGACAGAGTGAGACCCTTCTCGAAAGAAAGAAAGAAAGAGAGAGAGAGAGAGAGAGAGAGAAAGAAAGAAAGAAAGAAAGAAGCACATTGGTTAATTAGAAATTATTAAATCCCTTTTATAAAAAGAATAAAATTACATGAAACCAGGACCTTCTAGGCAGTTAGGAAGCATGGCTGCATTATTCCCTATACCAATTCTTTAATCTAGAAAATGTGCTTCACATTGTCGTTGGAGAATCTGACACTTCTGTGCTATTTCGAGGAGAAAGTGCAGTGATTTTCCCCCATTGGTTTGCTATGTACTTAATTAACAAAATTCAGGAGTGATGATTGGCAGGGATAATTTGGGAACATTCTCCTTTCTTTTCCCTGTGCCTGTTGTGTTGGAGAGAAGAAATGAAATATACCACCCCAGAGAGGCAGAAGGGTGTGGCAGATTAAATGTTGGATGAGCCAGGTGCAATGGCTCATGCCTGTAATCCCAGCACTTTGGGAGGCCGAGGTGGCGGATCACAAGGTCAGGAGTTCAAGACCAACCTGACCAACATGGTGAAACCCCATCTCTACTAAAAATACAAAAATTAACCAGTCGTGGTGGCGCACACTTGTAATCTCAGCTACTCAGGAGGCTGAGACAGGAGAATCGCTTGAACCCGGGAGGCAGAAGTTGCAATGAGCCGATGTTGTGCCACTGCATTCCAGCCTGGGTGACAGAGCAAGACTCTGTCTCAAAAATAAATAAATACATAAATATAAAAATAAATAAATAAATGTTGGATGAGGAGTCTGGAGATTTGGGTTCTAGTTTATTGTGTCCTTATGTGACCTTGGGAAAGTTGTGTTACTTCTCCATACATCAGTTATCTAATCAGTAAAATGGTGATAATAATACTGATTTCAGTTTGTTTGAACATAGTGTAGGATAGAATGTGAAAACATTCCAGAAGAAACCTAATGAAAATAGAAGGTTGAATTACATAGCATGCTGTTCTTATTCCTAACTATAAAAATAAGAGAGCCAAACTAGCAGATGGCATCTGTGGACCTGTATGGGGCCTGAGGGAACTCGTCACCCTGAAGGGAAAGACACCTGCCTGGCTGTCTTTGCCACCTGCTGATTGTAGAGCACTAGGGCCTTGAACAAAAATAGGTGGTAGCCTGGTAGTAGTCACAGTGGGCCTTGGGCAATATCCAGTGCTGTGCTGGCTTCAGGTCTGGCCCAGTGCAGTCTCAGTGATGGTAGCCACAAGGGTACTTGTGTGACTCCACCCCCAGCTCCAAGCAGCTCAGCACAGAGAAATAGAGACTCCGTTTGTTTGGGAGAAAGTAAGGGAAGAGAACAAAAGTCTCTGCCTGGTAATCCAGAGAATCCTTCTGGATCTTATTTAAGACCACAAACGTGGTACCTCTATGAGTCTGCAAGAACCATAGCATTACTGCACTTGGGGTGCTCTGTAATGCAGATATGGCTTAGATCACAACGCCCAAGTTTTTTTGAATATATGGAAAGCCTTCCCAAAGAGGACAGGTACAAACAAGCCTAAATGTCAAAGGCTACAATAAATACCTAACTCTTCAATGTCCAGACACTGATGAACTTCCACAAGTATCAAAACCATCCAGGAAAACATGACCTCACAAAGGAACTAAATAAGGCACCAGGATAGAGAAACAGAGACATGTGACCTTTCAGACAGGTAATTCAAAAAAGCTGTTTGAGGAACTCAAAGAAATTCAACATAACACAGAGAAGGAATTTAGAAACTTTCAGCCATGCTAACTAAGAAAACAAGAGAAAAGACCCAAATAAATAAAATCAGAAATGAAAGAGGAGACATTATAACTGATACCACAGAAATTCAAAGGATCATTCGTGGCTACTATGAGCAGCTATATGCCAATAAATTGGAAAATCTGGAAGAAATGGATAAACTCCTATACACATGCATCCTACCAAGATTGGACCCTGAAGAAATCTAAGACCTGAACAGATGAACAACACGTAACAAGATCGAAGCCATAATAAAAAGTCTCCCAGCAAAGAAAAGCCTGGGACTCGAAGTCTTCACTGCTGAATTCTACCAAACACTTAAAGAAGAACTAATACCAACCGTACTCAAACTACTCTGAAAAATAGAAGAGGAGGGAATATTTCCAAACTCATTCTACGAGGCCAGTATTACCTGATACCAAAACCAGACAAAAGTACATCAAAAAAAGAAAGCTACAGGCCAGT